TCTCAGCTTCTGCCTGAGCCACTTGCTTCATTTCTACTGCCTCTGTGAACTCCTTCCCAAAGGTCAGATGTGTCTAAAGGAAGGAAAAGGGAAGCAAACAAGAAAAAAAAAAAAAAACATTTACAGCTTGTCAATTCTGCAAATAAGGACCACTCACCTTGCAAGAAGAAATGTGTACCACTAAAGCTGCAAGGGAAAAAGGCTGTCCCCACCACTCAGTGACTTTTATTAGGTAAACTGACACAAGTAGGAGCTCCCCACTATGTTCTGCAGATGCCAGCCTGCCTACTCAGAGGGCTGAACACAAACTGAAAAGACACTGCTCTAGTGACTTCAGCAGAGCTGCTGCACCTTTGACCAGGTCTTTGCTTGAAGCAGCTTCTTTCTTGAATTTAAGTGCCACAGTAAAAAAGCAGAAGCATTAAGATCGGAACCCCCAAAAGCCAGAATAGATCCAGATAAGGCAGTGATTCTCAACCAGGTTGCCACAGCATCTTGGGGTGCCTTGAAATATTTTCAAGGGTGCCACAGGATGCCATGCTATATTAGCCCTGTTTGGTGTGCAAATCTGATTCACAAGATAAACCCAGAGACTGTGTCCAGATGTGTGCAGACATTTGTTTCCCTGGGACAACTAGCACTAGTGCTGCTGTTAATTGTCCCCAGGGAACACCTGTGCCACGCATGCTCTGGTGCATGACAAGTTACTCCAGGTGCAGTAGGGGAGCCTGGCACCACCACTGGACTGGCCTCAGCAACCTTACCTGGGGTTCTGGGGGCCTCCCAGGGCTTCAGCAGCGGCAGTCCTGCTATGTGAAGCCTGGCCAGCAACAGAGCACAGTTATGGCTTTGAGTGGTGCATGCTGCCACCGCATACACCACTGCTTTTTTCTTCTGTAGGTTTTTTTGTCCCCTGGATATCCAGAGATCAAAAAACCCTCTCTGTGCTACTTCCTTGCAGTGCAGAAAACAAGTGAACATGTGGTATGTGGCACCATAGACGTGTCTGTGGTGCCACATACCACATTCGTCTAGACATGGGCAGAGATTTCAAATAGGAGCCACAGTGTTAAAAACATTCTGACCTATTGTGGGCTTTCTGAATTTTTTGCAATACTGTAGAAGAATTGCTCTATTATTTTTCTCCAGTTTTCACTTGTTTTCAAATTAAGAGCTGGCATTTCCTGACAGGTACCATGAATCTAAAAAGGTTGAGAACCACTAGGCCACAGGAATCACTCCTTTTTCAATGTTACATCCCAAAATAAGGCCAGCTTTTTAAGCATATCTTCATTATGGGTTCCAAATGCAGCCAGCAGGGGGCACTCTCCACTCACCAGTCTCCTGCTGATGATCAGGATAGCCTGATTATCTGTAGTCAGTCAAGCAATCTCTAAAGGTTTCTTGCTCAACTGTGCTCTTGTGCTCTCAGTAGAGGCTGTTTGAACAGCTGTGTGCTATTGAGCACAACAGGGGAAAGGTGAGCTTCCTCAAGCAGCATGTTCAGGGGGTAGCACTGTCACGCAAAAAGCGTCAACACTGTCAACAGGAAAATTCTGGAAAGGGCAACATTATAACCTTACCATTAAGGCAGTTTCCTAGGACAGACATGTCCAAAGCTTTAATGGGTTGGTTTAGAGGGGTGTGTGTAATAAACAGCCAGATTACAAAAGCATTTCAATGACAGAGAATACTAGAGAGCTCACAACATGAAGGGAGTGGTTAAGAGGTTTTAATTATTAACAGAAATCTGAAGGGAAAGACACCAAACAAGGCTTACTTTTCTTCTTGACACTCAAGTTACTGAATTCTCTCAATATTTTTTCTCAAATTGTTTTGGCAGCTTTCTGTCTCCAGAAGGGGTAGCTGCACTTCTGCAAGCACTTGGGTGCCTCTCTCTTAATAAGACCCGAAAGCTTACTTAATAATTATTTTCCAACTATTTGGGTTGGTCTAATCAAAGATATCAGATTCACCCAAGGAACCTTGTCTGCCTATGTCCTTAGACCAACACGGCTACAACCTACACCCCTGTCTCTCTTAATAAGACACCCAAGTCCCCACAGAAGTGCAGCCATCCCTCCTGGAGACGGAAACAATTTGCAAATCGAGTCTTGGCACCCACAGGAATGACACCCCCTTCTCTCCCCATATGAATAACGAGAAGCCTGTAGGACAGAAGTCAGCCAGCCTTTGAGAGCTTTGGCTGTACTCATGAATTTTTTCGAGGTCTAGCAAGTCAATGCTACAGCAAGAAACAAAGCCAAGAACACCAACTGCCTGTCCTCTGCTATAACAACTCTGACACATTGTTTACAAGACCTACAATAACGACTTAAGCGTTTCAGTTTCTAGTCCCCAGCACTGGCCACCTTACCTCACTCTCAACTCTCCTCCCAAACTCGTATCTGAGCAAACTCCCAAGAAGGGAACATCAAAAGACAGGCCTCTTACCAAGGACACGTCATCAAGGATGAGGCCAAAAGTAGCTGCTCTCTCCACGAGGTCTTCACTCACTTGCCTGGAGACCAGCTCTCTTTGTGTGATCAGCTCACCAGCATCAAAACGAGCCTGAAATCAGGACAGGCAGAGGCATGCAGAAATGGAAAGATTCTAATGACTGCAAGCCCACAGCATCCCAGACTTCTTCCCCTTGCTTTTTCCACTATAGATGGGAAGAGCTCAGTGGGGCTTTTGTTGTCTCTGAAATAATAAGCATGGGGCTTCTAACCCTCTTCTGCTTACAAATGATTGGCAAGACCGTGCCTTACACTATGTTCCAGTACAGTTCATGCAACTGCTCTCTCTTTCTTTCCATTTCCTCTCACCCTTTTTTCTTCCTTCTCTTATTTCCCTGCCCTCTCTTTTGTTCCCCTCGCTATATATTTTCTTCTCATTTCATGGCTTTTTTCCTTCCAATCCAGGCTACAGCATGACTGGTTGTTTGCAGGAGCAGGTGGCATCTTGTTACAATTAGAGGACCCAGGAATGAGGAAAGGATGGGAAGTGCTTGAGTACACAGCACTGGACATAAGTTTCTCTGAAGCCAGCTACAGAAACAGCAGCTCTAGAGTTGCCTGGGCCTGACTGGAGGGGAAAGTAACTGCCATGCACTATATACACAGGGCATGACAAAAGGTCATACATGTAACAGTCTGTGTGTCCCTAACCCAGGGTTAGCTTGCTGTGTCCATTCCCAAGGGTAAGAAATTTGAGCTACCTCTTTAACTGCACTAGAGAGACTCCCATTAATTCTCTCTTTAGCCTGTACTGCAATTGTGACTGTCCGGTGTCCTCTCAGCAGTCAGCATGCATGTACTGCACTGAGGTTGTTTCAAAGTCATTTGGCAGTCCCAATAGGATGCTTACAGAGGTGCTCGGTGAGCAAGTTTAAATAAAGGCAGAATTACAGAGAGTTTCTCCTTGTGTAGGAGAGGCTGGGAAGCCCAACAGTGACTCAAATCTAGAGAGAAGGGTCTGAAGAGTCAAATGCTGAGTGGAATCAACAGCTTCAAGTGGCACTAAACAAATCTCACCTCTCCACCATACCCAATAAGCCTGCATCTGACTCAAGAATCAATGCAAACAGTGCTACTGCAAGCATGACTCTCTTCCAGGAAGACTTGTACAAGCAGATCAACTCTAGCCTGGACCACTGAATGTCCCATGCCAAATTAGGTCTCACTGTTCAGAAACATGAAGCAGCAATACACAATCGGCATAACTGCACAGCAACTGTGCTGTCCTTACCACAACAGACTTCAGGATCTCAGTAGTGATGGAGGGCAGTACACGCTCATCATAGTCCTCCCCGATGCTTGTGAAAATCCGAGGTAACTGGTTGGTAACTGGTCTGAACAAGATTCTCAAAGTAATGTTCACGTTCTGCAGGTCTGCAGAGACAGATTTGTAACTTAGAGGCAAAGCAGAGGGACAAGAGATATCCAGAGATAACTCTCTCCCTAGTAGCTAAAGAGGGACAAGCAGATTCAGAGTTCTGCCACCTGGCATATTCAGTGGCAAACTTCACTCCTGCCAGTTTGGTTTTTTTACTGTCCCCCTTCACCAAGGGATATGATCCCCAAGAAACATAATTTAAGTGCTTTCTTCCATGTGGGATGGGGAATTATTCATCTTTTCATGCGAATAGAGAAACTGTTTTTAAGGGATGGCTGATCAGACTGAAGCAAGCTCCCTTATTACAGATCAGAGACTAGTTATAGAATAACACAGTCCATTTCATGGCACGTGCTGGATCAATCTCAAGCATTTGGGGGTCCCCAAAGAGAGATAATACAATGCTCCAATCTGATGGGTTTTAGTAAAGAAATAGACCATGCAAAATCAAGGCCTGCCATTTTCTTCCCCATCTGTTAGCTGACTTTACTAAGAAATCCAACAGCAACAAAACACTCAAGAACTTGTGATCAGAGGTATTCCAATGAACTATCATTTTACATGGCTGTAACTTTTTAATTACAGGGGTCGTGTTTCCTTAAAGCACTATCTTGACAAGGGCCTAAGAATTTTTTTTCTTCCCATTACCTTGAGAGGGAGGACAAAGATCTCAATATTTTTGCTGGATTGTATCCTAATTAATAAAGGCACTCAGAGACCATGGCGAATGACATCAATGTTGCTCTGGTCCACTGGCAGCTATGAGACTACACTTACCTTTGCTGCCAGTGATGACAGGAACATTACGCGGGCGAGAACGACAGTCGAAAATAATTGGTTTCTGTACCCAGGGAATGAGAAAGTGTGTGCCTTCCCCTACTACCACATCTCGAACGCCTTGGAGTCTGTCAAAGATAACAGCTCTGTGGCCCGCATCAACTAGAAAAAAGAGCATAACACGCACAGCTTAATGACCGCAACCTATCATTTTGGGAGCATGCATTCAAAGTATATTTTCCAAAGAGCATACCAAAAACTTAGCAATATTGCTTATGCTCTCTTTACCTCAGGGGGCTCCCTCAGGGGGCTAATGAATGGCTTGCCTTAAAACAGTAGTGTCAAACACACCTGGCTTGCAAAGTCCACCACCTGGACACCAGTGCTGTCCCCCAGTCTGATCAGACCTACACATGGCACATGATGGCACAGGGCCAGTTAACCAGCTTGATCAGGCCCATGGACCCCCTCCTCTTCTCCCCCTCCCAGCATACCTGATCTGGCAGTTGCTCTAGCCAGTCTGGGACCTGTGCTACGTGTGACATGGATCCCAGAGTAGCCAGAACAGATGCTGTGTGAGGCACAGTCCGTCTGAAGCAGCAGCCAGCCTGCTTGAGGTGGCTGATCAGGCTAGACTGTACCACATGGTGCCATTCTGCAATGCAGGGCGCACACAATACTAACTCCAGCCGGTCTAGGATCTGTGCTGCATGCGGAGCTTGCAGGCACCGCATACAACACAGGTCCCAGACTGGCTGGAGCAGGTGCCATGTACAGGGCAGTCACGGAGCTGCCAGAGCAGATGCCAAGTGTGGTGCAGTCCGGCTAGGGTGGCCACTGCATGCAGCACTGCTGCAGCTCCAGACAGACTGTGCTGCACACAGCTCCCATTCTGACCACTCTGGGATCTGCACTGCATGTGGTGTACGTTCCAGACCAGATGGAACAGCTGCACATTAGGTATGCTGGGGGAGGGGGTCCATAGGTCTGATCTGGCCTGCAGACCAGTCCCGTGCCCCTCATCCAGCCCATAGGCTGGATGAGTTTGACAACCTGAATCAAAGCAAACAAGCAAATCAGCAAAGGGGTCAAGGATAAAAGTTCAAGCCCTAGTGTAAGAGGTGCTAAGGGCAGAGAAAATTAAGATCAAGGGCAAGAAAACCAACCCACTGGATCTCCCAGTCCTCAAAGTATCATAAGAACTAGCCTAACCGTACCCTTTTCACAAACACCTTGGTTGCATTTATTTTAAGGAAACAGAAATTATTTCAGTACAGAGCTATTTCCAACACACTTTGGAATCAGCAAAGCCCCCTGATGTGTTTACTTCCCTCTAACTTTACACCCGACTTTGTGGAGTTGAACATTTCAGCAGAAAAGGAAAAGGCTCTGCCTCTTCTGCTCACCGTTATAGAGGGCAGAGTTGAGAATTCCTCCTGTAATGGCCAACCCCAGGCCAATTTTCCCCACGGTCTCAAACAGCTTGGAGGCAGCCATCTGTCAATCCAATGCCCGTCTCTGAAGACTCACACCTGCAAAAACCCAGCAACATTGTTAGAGCAATTCTCAACCAAGAGGCCACAGCCCCCAGGGGTTCCTCGAGCTCCCTGCAAGGGGGCTGTGGGGCGCCACACAATGCGAGCGCTGTTAGGTTAAGACAAATGTGTTTCACAAGATAAACTCAGAGATCTATTTTTCTAGCGACTGAAAAAAAAAAAGTGAAAACAGAGCTGGCACTTTCCAAGGGGGCCTTGCGTCCATCCAGGGCTGCCCCATGTCTAAAAAGGAGCGAGAACGGCTGCCTCGGAGATGGATTAAGTGCCCCGGGGCCTTCCTGCCTGCCCCAAACCACAGCCCCCTGGATCCCCATGACCAGGGGCAGATCTGAGCAAAACAAGGAGAACCAGCCCTCAGGCTCCGCCTCACGAGGGGCCTCTTCCTCAACACCGCTCCCTCCACCTCCCCGGCCACCCCCCGGCTGCACCCTCTTCCCCAGTTCCCCCAGCGGGACTCCCGCCCCCCGGGCCGGGCACACTTTCCCGCCCAGGCTCGTCCCCCCGCAAGCCGCGGCACGCCACCTGCACACCTCCAGCCGCGACTCTGACCTCCACATGAATCGCCAACCACCTGAGATGGCGCGCATGCGCAGCCCCAACATATTCGCTTCTCATTGGCTCCCGCAGGTCCGCGGCATGCTGGGACTGGCAGTTCTCCCGCCCGCTCCTCCACGGCACCGGACTACTACTCCCGGAAGGTGTCGCTCCGCGAAGGAACGTCTTCTCCTATTGGCCGGCGCCACGCCACGCGCAGGGCCCGCTGGGAATTGTAGCCCCGCCTGGGGCAAAGCCACGTGGTAGTGCCAAAGAGCCTGGCGGGGGCTGCTGACTGCCCCGTGTCGTGGCCATGAGCCGGGCGCCAGGGCACCTTGGTCCAGACCAGGCGTGGGCAGTTATCTGGCTGCAATGATCTAGCTGGGGATGGACCTCCTTTGAGCAGGGGGTTGAACTAGATCAGCGTTTCTCAACCTGTGGATTGTGACCCAGAAGTGGGCTACAAGAATATATGAGAGGGTTGCAAACAAACTTTAAAAATGGATCAACAATATTTTAAAAATTGATTTTCCATTGAAGGAGAAAAACGTGGGAAACCATGGCTTTTGCCCTGCGGGCTGGCAGAGGTCTGTCCAGCCTGCAAGGGGCTGCTTGGGGCCCCTCGTGCACCACCCCATGTGCCCCCAGCCCCACACACTGGGGACTGGGACCTGGGGGCAGGGAGCAGGGGCTCAAGGCTGGCCATTGATGTTTAAAAATGGGTCCTGGTACAAAAAAAGTTGAGAACCACTGGACCAGACCTCCTGAGGTCCCTTCCAACCCTAATTTTCTATGAGTCTATGATTTGGGACCAAGGGCCGCATAGGGAGTTTTGATAAGCTGTCACAGGCTGAGTCAGCACCCCTGCTTCCCCTTTGCAACAACTCACCAAAACTCCCTATGGGGTTTGGGAGGAGGGTGGCAGCAGTGTTTGGGAGCAGGACGGGTGGCTGAGGCTGGGATCACGGGGCTGGATCACTGAGGACCAGGGCCAAGCCTGCCCTGTGAGTTGGGGGGGGCAAGTATATGGGGGGGATGCTGCCTGAGCTCTAGGACCTCAGCCTGGGGTGAGGGGAGGGAGGCTGCCCCGACACTTGCAGCGCTCCGCATGGGACTGAGCCCTGCCCTGGGCTGAGCCAATGCCACGCTCCCACCTGTGCTCGTCAGCCCAGCCCTAGCCAATGTGCAGCTTCTAGCTGGTCTGTTCTGCTGCAGGCAATCTGGTGCTGCTTTGCTCCCTTCACCTCCAGCAGGAACTGCCCTGTTGAAGCTTCCCTCCCACCTGCCCAGAGTGCAAGGCAGGGGAAGAAGCAAGAAGAGGAACTCCCACTGGAGGGGAGGGGATCAGAGCAACACCCAGGTGGCCGCAGCTGACTGGGTGCTGCTCTGCTCCCCTTGCTGCCAGCAGCAGCTTCTCCTCTGCTTTTGCCCTGGCTGTGCTACTCTGGGTGGGCTGGCAGGAACCTTCAGCAAGGCGGCTCCTGCTAGAGATGAGGGGAGCAGAGCAGCACTGGGAACAGCCTTCCCAGAAGCCAGGGGTGACACGTAGGGCATGCACGTGGGTACACGGGCACCCCCTCAGCGTGGTAGTGCACCCCCTAGAAAAAGGCATCATCAATCGCTGCTCGCCACCCTGCCACTGACACTGCCGGTGGCATCTGTGGGCGGTCTGCGATTGCTGCTGGCCACTGCCACCACTGCCAGCAGTGCCTGCAGCTGGTTGCCGATCCCTGGTCGGCGCTCCCCGCCCACCGCCAACAGCACTGGTACCATCTGTGTGAGCTCTGCTCTTACCACCACTGTGCTCCTGCTGCTGCTGCAGCGCTCCTGCCGCCGCCAGTGCAGCCATGCCCCCCCAGCTGCCGGGGGCACATGTCATTCATGCCAGAAGCTGAGCACACTAGTCAGGGCCTGGACCAGCAGGTGCAGGTGGAAACGCAGTGCAGGCTGCCCCAGCAAGAGCCAGCAGGGCTCAGCCCCATATGGAACATTGCAGGGGCAGCTGTGGGCCAGATTCAGTCAGGTGGTGGGCCAGATCTGACCCATGGGCCATATTTTGCCCATCTGTGGTCCAGACCCTGCAGCCTGCATGGGCTGGGGGCCCCAACAGAGTCATGCTCCAATTTCCCTCCCTTTCACGGAAGCCCTCTCGTATTGCAGCACCCCCATGTGCCCTGATCTTAATTCTCTGGAGGGTAAATGGAGCCCCAGAAAAGGTCATGGTGTCTTCCCTGCCTCAAAGTCTTTCTGTCTAGTTGGGAAACTGCTGGCCCTAAATCTAGTGTACTTCTTACTTTGCCGCTTAGATAATTGCATTGAGAAACACTAGATCATGGGGATGAAGGAACAGGGGCTCCCTGTATATATTAAAAGAGCAAAATCATAGGTCGTTGCAAATGTCTATCCTGTTGCTTCAGGAACGTGTGCCTGTCATATGTGCCAGCAGACACTTGGGCCTGGGATGTTTTGCCAATCCAGTTCTAAAATCAGGACCCAGTTGCATGTTGCAGTATTGCTGGAAGGTTTATTAGAAACTAGTCTAGATGTATTCTGCAATGGAAAGAACTGAAACTGGCTATAAGGGAGCTGCTCAAAGAGATCATAGGAAAGTAGGGCTAGAAGGGAGCTCACGAGGTCATCTAGTCCAGCTCCCTGCTCAAGGCAGGATTGTCCCTGACTGAACCATCCCAGCCAAGTGTCTGTCCAACCTGCTCTTGAAAATTTCCAAGGATGGAGATTCCACAATTTCTCTAGGTGGCCTGTTCCAATGCTTGACCACCCTCATAGTCAGAAAGTTCCTCCTAATCTTCAACCTAAACTGCTCTTAGTCCTGTTCCCTATGGACACAGAGAAAAGCCCATCTCTGTCCTCTCTGTAATTGCTCATTACGTATTTGAGGACTGTTATCAAATCCCCCTGCAGTCTTCTCTTCTCTAAACTAAATACCATTAATTCTTTTAGCCTTTTCTCATAGGCTCCCAATAATTTTGTTGCTCTATGCTGGATTTTTTCCAACTGTCCACATTCTTGAAGTGTGAGGCCCCAAAATGGACAGAGTACTCCAGGTGAAGCCTCACCAGTGCTGAACTGAGTGGAAGTGTCACTGCCCTTGATTTGCAAGATAAAGGGAAAAATGGCCAAACTTAACCTGAACATTGATGGCCCATTTGAAAATCTGCTCCTCTGTGTCCCAGTGGGTACTGCTGGATGCTGAGCACCTTTGAAAATGTGGTTGTTATATAGGTACTTAAATAGGAGAACTCTTTGGAAAATCTGGCCCAATGGGTGCTGCATGCTGGAAAAACTGACACTGAGCATTTTGGAAATCTGACCCATGTGGGCCACAGATCCTAGAAAGCACTCTACAGCCGTACCCTAATAGAAAAGAGCACAGCTTCACAGTGCTCCCATTGCACAATAAATTATCTTTCATTATATGAGGGTTCAAATGAAGGTGCTCCAAAATGGAGTGCCTTCGTTAACTTGTGTCTGCTCTCAGCACTGTCTCAGGATGGGAATGGGGGAGAAAGGATGGGAGGGAACCTTGGATTGGAGTTTCCCATCCATCCCCACTCTAGCACAGGCTGGGTAAACAGCAGCCCAAGATCCCTCCCCTCCCTTCTCCCCACTCCCATCCTGAGACAGCACCAGGGCAGGGAGAGAGAGGGAGGGTGGGGCTAGGAGAAGAGGCTGCAGAGACAGTCTCTCTTGCTGGATCAGCTCCAAATTGGAGCTCGATCCCCCACCCTCCTGGCTCAGCAGCTAACATCTGTTGGGTTGGGAGGATCAGTCTAACTCTTGGTGCTTTCTGTGAAGTGCCATGAGTTAGACTGGGGAGCTGCACTTCTGTTTACTTCTGGAGTCTTCCAGCATAAACTGGGAAGGGGCAGCAATATGCAGAAAAAGGTAATGGTAGAAAGGTGTTAAGAAACTGATGTTTTCATAGTGGAGGGGAGTGAAAGGATGTTTCACAGAGGAGAGAGGGGAATGCAAGATGTTCTTTAAAAGCAAAGCAATTTTCACAGTAGGGACCATTCTGAGATGTAAGAAGACTTCGTAGGGCAAGCAAGTTATTAAGGTGCTTGGCTTGTAAGTCTTTAAGGATGCTTTTCGCATTGGATAGGTGGTGACTGGGAGATAGATTGAAGTCCAGGGTGATGGACAGCAAGAGATCAGGCAAATAGGTTAATAATTAACCCAGTAACCTTACTAGGGGTGGGTGAGCAGGGCACCAGCCCCAGGTGCTATCTTAGAAGGGGTGCAAGATTTGTGTTGCCCAGGGCACAAAATTTCCTAGTTGCACCTGAGTTAACCTTCTGTGGTGTTTGCTGCAGGTGACAGTGCCTAGGAACAACCTTAATGTAGGCTGACCAGAATTTTGGGGGCAGGAGTTAGGGACTGTGCAGTTCTTGTACCATAAGACTGTGGTGGGCTTTGAGGACTGAGGAGAAGCTGACTTGGTAGACAATGCTGGGATATTCCAATGGGGTTGTTGCAGGTGGGTGCTCAGGAGAGTGCAAAGGAATTTGGTATTGGGAGGGTGGAATATTGCAGTTACTGATAACAAGGGAGCCATGATACAAAGGTGGCTGGCACATCCAGGCACTGGGCCTAGATACATTGCCTGGGGATGGCAGGGGAGGGAGATTTGAAGCAGGTGAGAACCATGTGGCATGAAAGAACACAGCCTGGAGATGATATAGCACTTGGCACAACTGAGTGGTTTTCAGATCTGGGCAGCTGGTAGAATGGGGCTGGAAGGAAACACAGAGCCATCTGCTGATCTAGATTGTTTTTACCATGCCTGTCACTATGGAGTCCAGCCGGGATGATGCATGGTGGAAGGAAGAGC